GATTTAGATCTTTTGACCCCCTTTGACTAGAAATCTAGACTATGCCTGTAATTGCAAGCATCAATATGCTACTATATAACTTCATTAAATCTGAAAAAGTTTAGAAACTTTTTTGCCTTTTGTTTTTCTTTTTCTCTGAAATGGCAATGGAGGCACAACTTTTCTTTATTATAGAGGACTTGAATCATGATAATATCTTACCCTATGATGCTGCCATTGCCATTTGGGAATTTCTTAAATTGATTTCTACCTCGCTGGAATAATTTTATTTTTTCCTTCTCCTTTATTTGGAAAATAGAGTACAGAAGTAATAGAATACAAAAGTAAGATCTGACCCAACCCTGCAGTGGCTTATTTGGCCTACCAGAAGTAGTATCACAAACTCTACCCTTCATACCACAAGGAAAATGCTAATGCATCTTCTGTCTTCAGTAGTAAAGCTCTGAATTAGACAGTCTTGGAGTTGGAATAGCAATCAAAGGCTGCGATTTCTTTATAACAATCCCAAATTTTTCAGTTAAGTTCAATTCTGCGCCATCTGGTAATTTCCACTCAAACGAGTGCAACAATGTAGCCAATATGAGCATCAAAACCCTCTCTGCTAGAGGAATCCCTGCGCACATTCTCCTTCCAGAACCAAATGGCATATACTTAAAATTGTTTCCCAAGTAATCAAATTTCTCAGGATCATCCAAGAACCTCTCAGGTTTAAATTCCAAAGGATTTTCCCAAAGCGTGGGATCTCTATGGATCGCCCAAACGTTCAACATCACACTCGTGCCTTTTGGTATGGTATAGCCACCGATTGTGCTCGATTGGCTTGGAGAACGAGGTACTAGAAGAGGCAGAGCTGGGTGCAGACGTAATGTCTCTTTCACAACAGCATCTAAATACCTTAATTCCCGCAAGTGAAACTCTTCAACTGAGCTGAACATGCCAACAACTTCTGCTAATTCTTGCTGAACTTTCCTCATTACTTCCTGATGTTGCAGCAGCTCTGCCATTGTCCATTCCACCATCGTTGTTGAGGTGTCTGTTCCTCCCACGATTATATCCATCAGCAATGCCTTCAGTTGGATCATGGTAATGGAGTTTTCTCTATCTTCATGTTCCTTGAGCTCCAAGAGGAATTGCAAGAAGTCCTTTTGTTTATCGTTCACCATATTGGTACGCTGTTCAATAGCAGAATAAACAATCTTTTCAAACCATGAAAGAATATGCTTCGTTTTCCTTTCTATTCCTTGAATATCAAGCCATGAAAGCGCCGGAAAAATGTCTGAAAGATTTGGAGTTCCTAACAACACCATCAATTCTGCAAGCATCTTTCGAAGCTCAACCCCAAGATTTGTCCCTTTCTGTCCCAACTCAAAACTGGCACCCCACAGCATGTTCTCGACTACATTGGTCGAAGTTACAGTTGATAATTCACCAATGTCTACCGCCTTCCCAATTCTGTTGCTATACACATCTCTAATAGTATTCCTAATCTCTCCTTTTCGCAGAGTGTAGCAGGCATCAAGGCTTGCATTACTCATCATCTTGCCCACAAATATTTTGCGCAACTTTCTCCATTTAGCGCCATAGGGGCACCAAGCGATATCGTTTGCATCATGTGTGATCACCCTTGCAGCGATGGATGCATCACGGTTGGCAAAAACTGTATCATTGTCACGAACCACTTCTTTAGCCAGCGATGGCGAGCTCACGACAACACATAATTTGTTTCCGAGCCAAAGCTTGTAGATAGGACCATAGACTTCTCCCAATTCTGTGAATTTCCTGTGAAGATGAGTGCCAAGGAAAGGAAGGTATCCGACTAGAGGCAAGCCACAGGGACCTGGTGGCAGTGTAGCATTAATATTTCTTGATTTCTTGACTTTCCACGACAACCAGATCACAGCCAGCATCCCAACTAAAGAAGTGAGAATTGCCATGAAATCCATCTTAGAATTTAGAATCTGTGAATGAAGAGAAAAATGCCTTGACTATAGAATTGTTTAACTAAAACAAGCTCTTGGCAAAGTAGAAAATGTTCGATAAGAAGGAAGTTTGCTGGTGTGTGGTGACGTCCTGATACTTATCTAGTTTTAATGGTTCACATTAAAACAGCTGTCTTCCTCCAGGAGATATCTTTTCTAGTGGAACGCATTTTGTTTCCTTGATGACCACAATAATTGCCTTTGGCTTTATCATATATGCAAGGTAAAGGAAAATCAATTCAAGCAATTTTCTCTAGATATTTTAAGAAACACTTAATTGACAAACAAAGTATACTCTTCAAGTGAATTACGTATCTATGTTGTGTCTCTTTTTATTGAGTTACGGTATTTTCTGAAAAGGTTTAGAAACTATATATTTTGCCTTTTGTTTATCTTTTCATCTAAAATGGCAGTGGAGACTCACCTTTTCTTTTCTTTTCTTTTCTTTTTAAGAGGACTTGGAGCATGATGCTCTTTAAGTCAATTACCTATTTATGTTTTACCTATGAGAAATAAAACTTTATGTTATGTGCCCTTACAGATTTGCTCAACATGATATATTGAAGAAAGATTAAGAAATGGGTATATCAGTAAAATAAGGTAATTGAGTATGTGCCTTTTGGTATAGTTGAGTTACCAAATTTATTGGGTTCGTTAATTAATTCTATCTTGTTTTCACTTTCAATCTTAATAATATATGTTTTTTGTAAGGATTATTGTCAAGTACTGGCAAACACTAGCTATCTGATAAGGAACCTATACACAAAAGAAAGGTTTTTGCCTTGGAGAAGTTATTAGTTGGTAAAATTCATAAGCAGGCAAAAATAAGAATGTTGTTAAGTACACCCACTCATTTACTAAGTTTCGCTTATTATAAATTTTATTACAATTTTGTCCTTTAAATAGGGCCGACTAATAAAATCAGTGACGTTGGGAAATCTCTTATATATATATAAGGTTACGGGAAATGACTTTTAGCTCCCATCTTCTATTGTAAGTGAGTATATAATTGTATTGAAAAAAATTATTCTTCTTTCTCCATCGTTTGATTTCAAAGTTTTATATTTACAGTTCACGAAATAATAAATGAAATTTAAGTCTATAAGAATTCACAATTTTACAAGTAAATTGAAGCTCATGGTAATTATCAAAATTACTTATAATGTTTTATATCTTAATCCTTTTAGGCCCAAAAGCAAACTAAACTATTGTTGAATCTGCATTTAGAGAGTTCTTTATTAATTTCTTTCTTCTTCTCGTTTCTTTTATAAGTTTTATATTTGAGAAAACTATTACAAATCTCATTGTTTAAATGGAAAACTATTTATGTAACTAAAAAATAACTAGAACTTGAATCATCTAAGTTATTTCAACTAATCCTTTGAGACCTTAAAGTTAACGGTTATATAAGACTTCAGTGGCTACCCTTTATTAGTAGTCATGGAGATTCGAACTTGGGACCTCTTGAATAATACATCAAAGAGTTTCGAGTGAATCGCAAAACTATCCAAAGGTAGTTAATATGTTCATTATTTTACTTTAGATCTGAGTTTGTTTTATGTTTTAGTATCTACAAAGTTGTCAACTTAAAAAACACCTCAAAAACAATATAAATTTTTCGAAAATTTTTGAATATGTATAAGAGCTATTTTAAATACTATTATACCCCTATCTAAGGCTATTTTAAATACTATTATACCCCTATCTAAGGTAAAAGATGGGGGATAAAGACTAATGTATATACATATATAACGTAACCCATGCCATAAATTATTCCCAAATGCCCAATATGAGTAATAAGAGGAAATGGGTTATATGGGCTCAACTCTGAAAATCCGAAGAAAGCCCAAAAGAGGAAATTCACAAGAATTGCAAGAGAGCTCAATATACATGAGCAGTATAAGGTTACTCTCAGAAAGTGTACTTAGGAGTCGGGCTCAATTAAATGGCAGTGGGCTTGGGTCTCCAAATTGATTGGCAATTGGGCTCAATAGAATAATCTTACTATTTTTGTATGATAATGTTAAACACATATTTATTATTAGAAGATAACATATTACAGTGAAGGACAAATCGGAAATTTATTTTAATATGAATATTGTAAAATTTGCATTAAAAAGGGAGCTAATTTTTTTTTTTTTTAAATTTCAAAATTAATACTAATTTAAAATCAGTTTATTATGATATATATTATTTTAAATTGACTAATAAATTTTATTTTTTAAATGTTGACCACCTTGAGGGACGGCTAAGGGTTGGTTACGCCCTTTTTTGAGTGGGTTTAACTTCATAGTTATATAAATATCTACATATTGTATGTTGAAATGATTTTGGACTTAATGAAATGTGTCCCCTAACAAATTTATGAGAAAATAGGACCCTGGAAGTATATTTTCATATAGCTTGGGCATAAGTTAGACACAATTGTGGAGGACCTAAATGCATCTAAAAGCTAATTTTCAGCTGATTTATCTACAAATCATAGTGCCCACAAATTTTCATGTAAAAGCTGATTTCTAGTCTTACTATCAAGGGTCGTTAAATTATAAAATCATGAGAACATTTCTCTTTGTATTGATAGAACAACAACAATAATAACACCATTAGACTTGTACATAATAATAATACATAAACTTATAATGTTGAAAAATAGACTTCTGAAAATAAGACAATAGACAATGAATGCATGGATAGGCCTTTTCAAATTTGAAAACCATCCATGTCCTAAAAAGCCTTGGGCCAATAATGGTGGGCTTTAATCATATTGCATACGTCTTATTGAGAAGTGATAGATCATCACTGGCTATACCATGTACATTAATTTAGTAAGAAATTTGATAGATAGTCTTGTCTTTTAATAGTTTTTTTTTTTATGTTTTCATGGTGAGATAGCTTAATCGGTGTTAAAATCAAAATGAACAAACAATAACGATTATAATATATAGAGGGACTTTTATTGAAAATGATTAGTCATTTTTATTAGCAAAAATAAAAAAAGAAAGTTTAATAAAAGAAAATTAATTCATCTTTATTAGAAATGGGAAACTTTTCAAACCCCTTAAACTTTGTCCTCAGTACATTAAGGTCTATCAAATTCAAAAACTCAATACAAGTGCTTCTTGTCATCATAGGCTTAGAAAAAGTTAAAGGTTGCTTCATCTTTACACATAGCTTCTCTGAAACTCAGGCCGTTCAATTTATGGGCAGTTGGCAGCAAGCTCATCCATTTCTCTCTACAAATCAAAAGAGCCAATAGTTAAATAACATAACATAAGCCCAAAAAAGGTTCAAGGGTATGGCTGATCACCTGAACAGACTTTATTATCAATGACAATAGAAGGACATTAATGTAAATTTAAAACCCTTTTGCCTCTTCTTGTTCCGATTTTTGCAAATTCAACTCTAATTTTGATGAGTCTTGTTCCTACTTCTTTTATGCTCATCCTATCCTCAGGTGACTCTCTTGTACACTCCATAGCCAAACTTAAGATAGATGACATGCATTCCTCCTTGCTAGAGAAATGTTCATCATCCCTTCTTAGCAAATTTGTGTCCAAGACTTGCATCAATGTGCTGCATAATGATTCACCGACCCAATTCCTTAAACTCATATCTTCGGTAAATATTTCGTCCGTTGGCTTCTTCCTTGTAAATGTTTCCATTAGCATGATACCATAGCTGTACACATCTCCTTTTCTAGATATTTTTCCTTCTCTTCCATATTCTGATAGTGATCACATGCACTTTCATTGTTAGACTTATAAATCATTAATTTTGTTTTTCTTCTAGTAAGAAAAATGAAACAATGCCAAAGACGACGTTTTAATGAAAAAAATAATTAAATTAGAAATGATTACCTGGAGCCATATAACCAATGGTGGCAAGGGTCTGTGTTTGTGTCATAGACTGTTCTTCACCTAAGAGCTTAGTGATGCCAAAATCACTTAAATGTGCAACCATGTTTTCGTCTAGGAGGACGTTGCTTGGCTTTAAGTCACAATGAACAATTGAGAATGAATAACCAAAATGGAGATATTCCAAAGCTGATGCAACATCAATCATTATATTCAACCTCTGTGAAATGTCCAAAACATTGTCGTTAGAATACAAACATTTGTCTAGGCTCCCATTTGGCAGATACTCCAATACCAGTGCTTTAAAATCATCGCTAGAGCAACAAGTGATGATTTTGACAAGATTTCGATGACGAATACGACTCATTACTTCACATTCAACTTCAAAACTAGTAAAAGCTTCTTCAAATTGCAGGTGGAATACTTTTACTGCAAGCTCCGTGCCGTCACCAAGTCTTCCTTTGTAAACTGAACCAAAACTCCCTTTGCCGAGTAGGTTGTGCTCATTGAATCCATCTGTTGCTCTCACAAGTTCATGGTAAGAAATTCTTCTCCATGTTTCTTGTGGAGACATATCGATATTACTAGGTAGCTTTTTGTCCTTTTTGCGGCATTTCAGCAACACAAATAAAAGAACTAGCACAACTAATGTGACCGCAATGCTTAGTGACAAGACAATCAATAAGAGAACTTTTGATTTGCGATGAGTGCTACTTTGGCATGGTGGAACTTTTAGTTGGGGATCAAAACCACATAATGCAAGATTGCCCATGAATGAGTCACCCGAAAGATTTGCAAAACATCCTCTTGTAGGAATTTCACCTCTTAATTGGTTGAAAGACAAGTTTAGATATTTGAGGGACAAGAGGTTCTCTAAAGACTTTGGAATAACCCCTGAGAGTTTGTTACTAGACAAATCCAAGAATTCTATGCTTGTCAAGTGATCAAATGTTGTAGGAATTGAGCCTTCTAATCTATTGTATCCTAAAGAGAGATATTGTAGATTTTCTAGGCTTCCAATAACAACTGGAATATTTCCAGAAAAAAGATTCCTCGACAGATCAATATTTATTGCAACCTTAAGATTTCCAATGTTTGATGGAAGAGATCCATTGAGATAATTTGATGACAAATCAAAGTACAAGATATCCTCAAGGTTCCACAAAGTTGATGGTATAACAGACGTTAACTTGTTTGAACCTAAATACAATTTTCTCAGTGTCGTGAGATTACCTAAGCATGTAGGTATGGTTCCATGGAACTTGTTTCCCCCCAAATGCAACTCAGCCAATTTACTTAATTGACAGAGATTATTTGGGCTGAATCCTTCAAGTTTATTATTTTGAAGATACAAACGTTGGAGATTCTGCAATCCATCGATCGTATTTGGAATTGATCCAGTCAGTTCATTGTCTTGTAATTGTAATTCTATCACGTTTAATTTTCCGATTTCTTTGGGAATGTTGCCACTAATGTTGCAATCATTTATGTTAAGATATTCCAAAGAAATAGAGAAATTCCCTATTGAACTTGGAATGATGCTATTTAGTGGATTTTTGCCTAATCTTAGAACTCTTAAAACCTCGCAATTTGCCAAAGATGAAAGAAAGTTCATATCTGGAGTAGAAGATGTGAAGTAATTAGATTTTACATCTAGTATCTCAAGATTTTTTAAATTACCAAGTGTACTAGGAATGAAGCCTGAGAATGAGTTGTCTGACATATCTAGCATGGAGAGCTTGGAAGCATTGGTGATGAAATGAGGAAACGACCCACTGAAATTATTACTCCACAAGACAATTTCCTTAAGATTTGGAAGCTGTGCAGTTGATGAAAGAATTTCGGAGAGTTGATTGTCATACAATGAAAGTGTTTTAATTGTTGAGATGTTCAATATAGCAGCTGAGACAGGGCCAATTAGTTGGTTAGATGGAAGTTCCAAATCCTCCAGATTATGAAGATTGCCAATTTCATATGGTATCTCACCTAAAAATATGATAGTTCAATTAGTGAATTGGATTACGACAAAATGAAATTATTCTATTATAACAAAAAAAATTTGAGAGAGGTATATCTTGTACCTATCAATTTGTTGTCACCAATAAGTAGGTACTTGATTAATGTCAAATTCCCAATTTCTTTCGGAATTTCTCCTGCAAGATCAATATAAAAAAGCAATTGTATTGTTCAGAAAATTTGTAAAAGGAAAATTTGTAAAAACATTTATAAACAAAGTTTCATATAAAATAGCTTGGAGGTTATTGTATCCAAAGATAGATCTCTTTAAGCTAAGTCAAGTTTCCAATTTCTTTCTGAATGGTTCCTATGAAACAATTGAAAACAGGGATAAGCCTTGCAAATTTTTACAATTTGATAAGGAGGATGGAAGGCTACCGCTTAGGCTATTATTTGAAAAGTCCATGAAAATCAAAGAAGAAAGGTTGAAGATAAGCGAAGGAACAGTTCCCATTAAGAAATTATCTGCGAGTGATAATGTCTCCAGTATTTTCAGATTGCCAAGCTCTTTTGGAATCTCTCCTACAAAATCAATATAAACAAGCAATTGAGCTATTTAGAAAATTTCTTAAAACGAAATTAAAAAAAAAAAAAAAAATTGTATAAACAAGATTGCTTTTATCTATACACATAGATATATATAAATATATATACCTTGGAGTTTATTGTCGCAAAGATACATCTCCTTAAGCTGGGTCAAACTTTCGATTTCTTTGGGAATGACACCTGTGAAATAATTGAAAGACAGGGATAAGGATTACAACAAAGAGAAGATTCACTCATAATAGGACTTCTACAATTCATTCATTTAATCTATTTTCTAGCATTGCAGTTTCTTTATTATAATGTTTAAGCACATTAGTTGTTGGGATCAAATGTTTTCTGTTACGTTCGTATTAATATCTTTATTGTAGTGGTAAACTATATTTGACAATTAATTAAATATATATATTGTAACCAGTATCTGTATATATATTTATTTTATAATTAATTATATTTTTTATAAAAAGATTGCATGAGTCATACCTTGGAGATTATTGTTCGAAAGATATAATTGCTCAAGCAGAGTCAACTTTCCGATTTCTTTTGGTATGGCTCCTGTGAATTAATTCAGTTACAACCTCATTTAATTTAACAGAAGAAGATTAAATACACACACAAAGAGAGAGAGAGAGAGAGAGAGAGAGAGTAGTCACAATTAAGAATTAAGATTACACTTTAAATATCAAGTATAATCTTCAACTGTTTAATTTAAATCAACAAATGGGAGTTAATGTAGTAATCGTTTTGTCTATAGAGATGAAACCAATTTACTCAAGATGATACAATCATGTATAACTTTAGTAAGTGATGATATCGAAGAGTATAATTGGACTTGCATATATGATAATACATAGTATACCTTGGAGATTATTGTTGAGAAGGTGCAGAACTCTAAGTTGAATCAACTTTGGAGATTATTGTGGTATTCTAGATTTTTTTTTCTTTAAGCAAATATCTAGTGTGATATGTTTACAGTGCCCATAATCGGTTATCATATTTTAAATAGATAAAATTTTAATCAAACTTTCTTGTGTGGAAAATTATGAAAAATTGTTTTTAACATTACCAAGTTCAGGTAAATAAAAGTTCAATTTTTAAAAATGTGCACTTTCATAATTTTCACACATATATGTGCCTTGAGAAAAATGTAGCAGCTAGGCTAGGCTGTTACGGTTTAAAATGTACCAGTAAGCTGATTATTCCATAAATCTAATCTCTCCAATTGCGTACAATTGCCTAACTCTCCTGGAATTTCTCCTACAAAATCAACATATAAATATATATAAGCACGGTATTATTAATAAAATTTAAAAAAAAACGCAAATCAACATATAGATATATATATATAAGTAATGGTATTATTAACAAAAATTAAAAAAAAAAACGCAATAAATCAATTAATATTTGAGAAGTCATAGTGGTCAAAGAATTATATATTTGAGATTGAGAAAAAAAATTATGCATGCCAATAACTTCTGCATATAAGCCTTAGAGTCTACTGTGTTAATTTTCCAATTTCTTTTGGTATGGCTCCTGTGAAATAATTGTACGATAAGGATAAGGATTGCAAGCTTCTGCATTTTGATAAAGTGGATGGTATTTCGCTTCTGAACATGTTTCTATCCAAAAAAAGTGTTTTCTAACTAGGAAGATAATCAAAAGTAGTTTCATGGAGTCCACTGGATAATCCATTATTACCCACGTCAATAAATAATGACAAAGGCATGTTGAAAAAGATGGAAGGGAAGGAACCAAAGAGTTGGTTATGATATAGACTAAGTAACTGCAGTGAAGATATGTTGAAGATGAAGGTGGGAATGGAACCTGAAAGCTGATTATAATCAATATAAAGTTGTTGTAACGAAGACAAGTTGCCAAGGGACTGAGGGATAGTCCTTGAGAATTTGACTTCATTCAAACCCAATAATGGGATTTGTAAATTGAAGTTATTGTAACTGAAATCAAGGTATTTAAGACGGCGTAATTGAACTAACTCATCAGGAAGAGAGCCATAAAAGCTGTTGTTCTAGAAGCCTAGAATTGTGAGGAAAGAAAGATTTCCCAGTTGAGGAGGAATGGTGCCTGTAAGATTAAAGAAAGAAATATCAAGAAATGTGACTCTATGGTGACGGGCACCACAACGGATGACAATCCAATTGCAAAAAGAGGAAGTCCAATTACATAATTTTAAGTTGAATTAAGTTTCCAATATCTTTTGGTATGGATCCTGCAAAAGAATCGAAGAATAAAATATGTCATATAGTTCATTTCTCTTGAGATCTGACGGAGGCATTGTATGATGATGTTAACAAATGATTAGATGACACTCTTAAATACTTAAAAAAAGAAAAATTAATCAACTTTTTTTGTGAAATTAAAGTTGTATAGCAATTTAGCTGTTTAGAAAATTTCTTAAAATGAAAATTTGTAAAAATTATTATAAACAAGATTGCTTTCGTCTATACATACACATATATGTCTATACATACCTTGGAGTTTATTTTCGCCAAGATACATCCACTTAAGCTGGGTCAAGTTTCCGATTTCTTTCGGAATGGCTCCTGTGAAATAATTGACACCCAGGGATAAGCATTGTAATTTTTTGCATTTTGATAGAGTGGATGGTAATTTGCCCTGGAGCATATTATAAGACAAGTAAAGCAATTCCAAATGGGGAAGATTATCAAAAATGCTTTCAGGGAGTTCGCCAGATAATCTATTACGACTTAAACGAAGGGTTTTCAGTCGTCGTAAGTGAGCCAACTCCTCAGGGAGAGAGCCATAAAAGCTGTTGTTCCTGATGGCCAGCGTTGCAAGGAAAGATAGATTTCCTAGTTGAGGAGGAAGGGTGCCTGTGAGACCCAAGTTAGAAATATTCAAAGTCGTGACTCTATGGTGACGGCCCGCACAAGCGATGCCAGTCCAACTACAAACAGAGGTAGTTGTGGACCAATTTTTGGTCAATATATTGCTAGGATCATCGCTTATACGAGCTTTCAGAGCAAGAAGAGCTTGTTTGTCTGTGGAAATGTCGGTTACTTCCGCATTAACAAAGGAAAGTGTTGAAAAAGGAACTAAGAAAACTAAGACAAAGCAAAGGGAAAGGTTTCTCTCCATGTGGGGGGGAGATTAGAATGTTGCGTAGTTTTAGTGTGGGCTTGGTGACATGTACAATTGCAGAAGACTGATACTTATAAATAAACAACGAGATTATTATTTCCAAAACCCAACTTCAATGTGTCCCCATCTGTCTTAATACTTACTCTTGAACATCATTACTTTTACTATGGAGTTAAAGACACAGGCCCCTTGAGACCTGATATAATAACATAAATCATACTGAAAGATTTGAAATTACAAAACTCTCCCTATTGTTAGTATGCCCGGTTTTGAACATATACTTTTATGAGTTGATGAATATTTATCGAATTACCATCTTACCATATATTTTAACACCTAATACCTAACACAAGGGGATTTCTATTATTTCAGAAATCTCAGGGTGATATTTGTTATTCAATCAAACCTAAAGGGATTATAATTATTAACTTTTTATATTAATTAGTATATAGGTTCGCATGTTTATAAAATTGAGAGGACTAAGACTTATAAATATGAGATGTGAGAATTACCATCTTACCAAGACTTCCATTTGCTAGTAATATGAGATGTGATAATAAATCTTTTTTATGGCTAAGATGATGAAACAACGAGAGGCACAAATATTCTTTAGCAGTGACAAAAGTTGAGTGACCAGTGACCATAACAGGGCCTTAATTTGGATTGATGGAAGACTATTGACTTGTATTTTGTTTGAAGTTTCCTTTGAGTAGAATAATCTCTTATCTCTTCACTGTTTAAGTGGTCTTTCTACAGGTCAGTTGACTGAGCCTCTTTCTACAAGCCCTGGCAGCTAGTGTAAGTCCTTTTCATGTAGCAGCTGGGTATGTCTTTCTTTAGGTATCATATTTATGAATGTTTTTCAATTTAGATATTAAGTTGAGAAACCTTAATTACCTCAATAAAATAGTAAATGACAGAGATTGAGTAAAAAACATATACCAAAACAGAGGAAAACAGAGCCAAAACATGAGCAAGTTTATGTATATACCATGAATGTGCACATTATTAAATATTTGGAAATACCATAAGTGCGACAAATCATTGACCATTTGGGTGTGCGGGAGCTAAGCTAGAATCCCAAACTTGAAACAACAGTTTTTCACCAAAATACTTTCACTGAGTTGAGTGGACCCAGAACTTATAAATTGGCCTAGAACTTCATTAACTAGTAATATGAAATGTGACAGTAAGTTTTTTTCATCACAGCAAGTTGCACAAATAGTCTTTGGCAGTGATGAAATAGTCACAATAAGAGGGCACTAATAGTCTTTGAGCACAATAATCTCTTATCTCTTCAGTGTTTT